ATTTCATTTCCGGAAGGAATGCCAATGCCAACAACAGCTGTTTCTTATCTCAGTGTACCAGTGGAAGCTTGTCATCCTTCACAAAGCTCGCCTACGCGATAGACACGCATACGTGTCTTACGCCTGATGTGGCCATTTTTAGTAGCCCATCAAAAGCAGATTTACTGGCAAATAGTTTTCATGACATATGCTGTCCTTTGGTATTTTCTTATACAGATGTTTCTATAACCGCTATATGTAATTCCAATGCAGCTTTGTGATTCAGATTCTCGAGCGCAAAAATCATCCATTATCATATGGCAACAGCACCGTGGGGTGCTGTCTACTGAATTTAAATAGCAAACTACTCACTAGTTTATTTATTCCAAAACCACCCTCTGACTCTCCCCTTGCGTTACAGATGCAGTATATTATTAAGAACAAGAAAGGGTAGCAGCTCTCCCTTCAAATGCTTTTCCTCCCTCGAGGTAACAGGATTCAATATTGTGGCCAAGGTATTTTTGAAAATCACAAACACAGGCTCCGGTGTTTAAGGGAAGTTCTTATTTCAACCGCTTTCTAACGCATGATGAACAGAATGGGCCAAGTGACGCAACCTGGTGTTAAGCCATGTTTTAATCGACACAGGGACCTAACCAGAAAATGAAGACGAATGCTAGTATCATTTAAACTGTGTTAAAAGAGCACTCTCTGGAATTCAGACCCTCATACATTCATTAATCTTTCTACTTCTTTTTTTAAAATTTTTGAATTTTATTTTTTTATACAGCAGGTACTTAATAGTCATCAGTTTTATACCCATCAGTGTATACATGTCAATCCCAATCACCCAATCCATCCTACCACCACCCCCACCACCCTTCCGCTTTCCCCCCTTGGTGTCCATACGTTTGTTCCCTACATCTGTGTCTCAGTATCTGCCCTACAAACCAGTTCATTTTTCTAGGTTCCACATATATGTGTTAATATATGATATTTGTTTTTTCCTTTCTGACTTACTTCACTCTGTATGACAGACACTAGGTCCATCCACCTCACTACAAATAACTCAGTTTCATTCCTTTTTATGGCTGAGTGATATTCCATTGTATATAAGTACCACATCTTCTTTATCCATTCATCTGTCGAAGGGCATTTAGGCTGCTTCCACGACCTGGCTATTGTAAATAGTGCTGCAATGAACATTGGGGTGCATATGTCTTTTTGAATTATGGTTTCCTCTGGGTATATGCCCAGTAGTGGGATTGCTGGATTTTATGGCAATTCTATTTTTAGTTTTTTAAGGAACCTCCATACTGCTCGCCATAGTGGCTGTATCAATTTACATTCCCACCAACAGCGCAAGAGGGTTCCCTTTTCTCCACACCCTCTCCAGCATTTATTGTTTGTAGATTTCTTGATGATGGCCATCGTGACTGGTGTGAGGTGATACCTCATTGTAGTTTTTTTGTTTGTTTTTTTTGCGGTACGCGGGCCTCTCACTGCTGTGGCCTCTCCCATTGAGGAGCACAGGCTCCAGACGCGCAGGCTCAGCGGCCATGGCTCACGGGCCCAGCCAATCCGCGGCATGTGGGATTTTCCCGGACCGGGGCACGAACCCGTGTCCCCTGCATCGGCAGGCGGACTCTCAACCACTGCGCCACCAGGGAAGCCCCTCATTGTAGTTTTGATTTGCATTTCTCTAATAATTAGTGATGTTGAGCAGCTTTTCACGTGCTTCTTGGCCATCTGTATATCTTCTTTGGAGAAACGTCTGTTTAGGCCTTCTGCCCACTTTTGGATTCGGCTGTTTGTTTTTTTAATATTGAGCTGCATGAGCTGTTTATATATTTTGGAGATTAATCCTTTGTCCGTGGTTTCGTTTGCGAACATTTTCTCCCATTCTGAGGGTTGTCTTTTCGTCTTGTTTATGGTTTCCTTTGCTGTGCTAAAGCTTTTAAGTTTCATTAGGTCCCATTTGTTTATTTTTGTTTTCAGTTCCACTACTCTAGGAGGTGCATCAACACAGATCTTGCTGTGATTTATGTCACAGAGTGTTCTTCCTATGCTTTCCTCTAAGAGCTTTATAGTGTCTGGTCTTACATTTAGGTCTCCAATGCATTTTGAGCTTATTTTTGCGTATGGTGT